AAGGAAATTGACAAGAAAAGACTTCAGTAAGCTAATTTGAGATGTGCCCCGTTGTCAGGGTCCAATGGCCTTGCCAATTGAAAAGTACCAGTAAAGCAGGGGAAAGCAGCAAAGGAAGGTGACCAAAAGGGAGCAGTATCTCCCCTTTAGCAATGCAGTCCTCTTGATTTTAAGTGCTGAACTGCCAGTTCTCAGTACCTTCCACCTTTTCTACACTTCCCCAAATCTCCAACAACACCTGAGAAACACAGTATTAATTCCTCCCTACACACACACAGTTTACAGCACTTTTCAGAGCTCTTACTGCTGTAGTTACTGCAGTTCTTCAACAGATCTAAAAATGCATCTCCTCCCCCCCCCCCCCCGTGTGCATGCATGCGTAAATGTTAAGGCTGGGAAATAAATGGGGGGGGGATTTTCACATGTGCAAAAACTGACCCAAAAAGGAGCCTTGAGAAGCAGGGGAAATTGATATGACCCTTTTCAAGACTACTCAATGTCAGACAGCTGGAAGAAGGCAGTTGCAAAAGACCAACCAAACAAAACAACCAAAAAACTAACACAATTGTGCAACTTTCTGGAAGAAGTTTTGTTTTATTTGTATTGAAGCAGTGGCAGTCATGCCAAAATGCCACGAGCATCAGTGGAAGGGCTGGCAATGGGTATCAGTGGCGGCAGCATGATTGAAATTGCAAAAAGCGGGAAGCAGCTTGTTAGTTGATCCACATAACCCACAATGAAACTTCTCTGCCAGGTTTGGACAACATAGCAAACCACCATGGACCCAACAAGCACTAGAATAAACTATGGGTTGTCAGGGTGATTTGCCACCCCAAAACAAGCCAACCTGCAGGTTTGGATGGCATACCCACACTGTGGCTAAGTACTGTGGCTAACTACCCCATAGTGACAGGATACATCCAGTTATATCAACCCAAATACTTGGTACTTAGTATTCCCAGTATTCCTTCTAGCTCTGTCTTATGCATGTTTTCTGTAAAGTTATCTCCAGTATATTCAAAAGGAAATCTCAATACTCTTTTCTTTAATTTTAGCGGATATTTTCACCTCAAATGACATTGAGGAATTCCTGAAAGAAGCTGCCTGCATGAAGGAGTTTGACCATCCACATGTTACTAAACTGATTGGTGAGTCCTTTTGTATGCTATATTGACCTTTGTAGAAAAAAAAATAAACTTACCTATCTCAGAGCTTCTTAGCAGCAAGCAGTTTTAATTAGGAGACAGCAGTAGACAAGTTAGTTTCTGCCCTATTTGGAACTGTAGCTGTGCATTCATATGCTAAATTTCACATCTTTGTGAATCAAATAAAAATAAATGTCACTGAGCACATGAGCTAGATCATGCCAAGAGTTTAGAAATGCTGCTGCCCAGAAATATGACAATATATTTTCAGCAAATCATGAAGTGCCAAGTATGACAACATGGATCAAGGATAACTGTACTTGTTACTTGCTCTCCCTCCCCCCGCCCACTATTCTCTCATATCAGGTGTCAGCTTGCGCAATCGGCCTAAAGGCAGACTTCCAATCCCAATGGTTATCTTGCCCTTCATGAAGCATGGAGACCTTCACTCTTTTCTAGTGATGTCTCGGATTGGAGAAAACCCTTTTGTAAGAGTCTCTCTCTTGCCTTATCTCTCATAGAATAATAAATTTAACATCACTTTTTGAATTTATGCATTTGTTTGTTGAATGTACAGTGTATTGGGCACACAGGTGCATACCTATTTCAACTTCTATTACATTTAGTAATCCTACTTATTCCTGTTTGTTGTAGACAATTATAAGTTTAATTTGCTTTTATAGAGCTCTTATAGTCAGACCAGTCACCAAAGCTGACAGATGAATTCTTTGGTCTGAAAATATTGTATCAGTTGTTTATTGCTTATATACAACAGCCTGCTGTAGATAGCTAGCCTTGCTGGGTTGTCATGTAATCTGAATTAAGAATGTGTCCCATAGGGTTGCTTGCTTTTTTTCAAAGCAGCCACCTTGAGAACCTGTTCTAGGGGTGTTTAACCCAGGATAGGCTGTCATGTTGTCTGAGAACAGGTGACCAATCACAGCATGAATAAAGGGAGGCAGAGAAGAAGACACTTGGCAGGAACAACAGAAAATCCCTTGCTGCCCTTGATAATCTCATGTGTGCCCAAAGTGCCCACTGGACGGGCTGCCACTGGTTGGCCCCCCTTTAAAAAGTGTGCTTTGAATGTGTGCAAGCTTTTTCAGAATATTTTTTCAGACTTGCACAAGTGCTGCAGTACATGCTTCCATGGATCTGAAGTGGGAAGCCTTGCTTCAGCAATGTCCTGGAAGCTACCTGCTGTGGAAGGTACCAATTCTGGATATTGACCCAAATAGGGTTTTTAAAACAAATAGGGTTTTTAAAAACTAAATGTGACCACAGTAAAAAGTGAGTTGATAGGTCAAAGCAAAGTTGCAAGGGATCTTTGCTTGTAAAACAGGGTAGGTCCTTTCCCCACAGTTCACAGTGAGATCTTCAGCATTATGAGTGTCCCTCCCAAGTCCCAGTGTTTCCAATGTTTCCGTACATTTCTGAGAGCCTAGATATTAGGGAATGTGGAAAGTGTTCTTTACCTTCTTTTCACTGACACTGGACTCTGACAGCTGTTGGAAACAAACCTTTATTGAAAGCAGGGATGTATGTAGGGCAGAACAGGGTGGTTTAGACAGGGAAGCATATATATGAACATTGTTTATTTCTTGGCCAAACAACTTTCTAGGTTGCTTCTCTAGCCTTGGAGAGTCAGGTGCAAAAGGTCAAGTTGCAGATCAGACCTCCATGTCCACCTTCCCAGGTCCTGATCTCAGATGTTTTTCTGAGCCATCTTATTGTCCCTGGGATGCTTTCCCAGGGACCATAGGGTTGCTCTCTTAATCCCTTTTAGTTGTACCTGTTAAAAGCTGCCCTAAATATGTTTTGCCTTGTTTCCTTTCTGCAGGACTTGACTCTTCAAATGCTCATAAAGTTTATGATTGATATTGCCAGTGGCATGGAGTACCTGAGCTCCAAAAACTTCATACACAGAGATTTAGCTGCTCGGAACTGCATGTAAGTACACCATACTCTTAAAAGCCTATTGAAAGATTTGAAAAGGTTATGAAAAATGGAGGCAGTCTGTTGGGAAAACCCAAGGCTTACTTGGTGTGGAGTGAACTGCATCTGATTACATCCATTAAGGAAACAACTATATAATAAAGAACTTTGGAAGCTAGTGAAACAGTACATTTCCTGCTAAACCCTTGCAGAAGATCCAAACACCATTCCCTGCTGCTAGTGCATTAGCTGCAGAAAACTTGCATGTTCTCCACACCTAATCCACCCTTTTGAATTGCTAGGAAAATGTCATTTTCCTTCTTTCTAGCCCCAGGTCCAGGTTTTTTTGTTTCTGCTGCAGTGCAAATGATTGCACTTGTATCAATGGCATCTATATTCAACAGTATTCCATGAGATGAATCTCACAACATCCCAACTTCCCAGCATAAGAATATATGGTTGTGTTCTGTGGGTATACATTTTCACTCTCCTGCTGGACTTCTTAGACATGACTTACCACAAAGAAAAGCAGCAAGCAAGTGCCTACACCACACCTCCTACCCTACCCACTGTAACAGGAACCTGGTGAGACTGTCCTCAGATGACAAAAGAGGAAAATTGTAATGAAAGAACCCAACTGACATTTGACTCAGGGAAGACTTACAGGAGAGAAGACTTAAATAAATGCATTCTAAAGGAAAAGGAATCTCTAAAAATATAGATCTGTCTGTCTGTCTGTCTGTCTCTCTCTCTCTCTCTCTAAATTTGTTTAAAAATCACCCATTAGTAACATGCTCTCTGAGTGGCCATTACAGTATAAAATCAACAAATAATAAAATGTTGTTTATCTACGTATGTTATGGTACCATGCGGCTACAGCACTGATTGTGGAGTTTTTTAAATTGCATTTAAGAGTAGCTTTTGTTCGTGCATTTCAGTAATGAATGTCTGCTTATTGTATTTCTCAAGCATTTAACATTTCTGTAATCAAATTTCAGAAATGTACGATTTTGATAAAATAGCATTATCTTTTCCATGTAATAAGGGAGGAAAAATAGCCTTGCCTTGGAGCTGAAGACATAATATGATGAGCACTGTATGATGAGCACTCAAACACTTTAGTATGCCAGGAGGTAAAAAGAAGTTTGATTGGCGACTTGTTAATAACCAAAGAGATATTGGAACGCAGGATGCTGCCTTATACTGGACCAGTCCATTGGTCTTTCTAGGCCAGTGCTGTTCACCCTGATTGGCAGCAGCTCTCCAGGGTTTGTACCTAGGCTCTCTGTACAGGTTTGAACAATTAAAACAGCAGAACAATCTAAAATCAATAGCAGGAAATCAACAGTACTTTTCTAGCCCTACCTGGAGATGTCTGGGATAGAAGCTGGGGCCTTCTGCATGCAAAAAGTGTGGTCTGCCACCAAGCTACAAACCCTCTCATTGCTGGAAGAACTTACTATATATCCTCATTTTTCCTTGCTCATTGTTAGAAAGGCCAAAGGAGGAACGGGAGGCAGACACTTTAAGAATTTTGGTGTGGCTTGTGGAGGATCACCACTGTTCTTTAAGCCAATCCATCCTATAGCTTTTAGTTGTGGATGGAGCAGCAAGCACAATGACACTGTCCACTTGTGCCTTCTGGCTTAAGAATCCCAGGAACCCTACTTGGCTGACATTCAGCTTCAGCATTTTGTTTGCTTCCAGCCTGTTCCTAACCACAGGCATGCACTGCAGGAGCTCCCAGTCCCAGCACTTCTGCACCATGTAACCACAGGCATATGTGCTGATACAGATGTCTTTCAAATTCAGACCAGGTGGACTTTTCAAGTATATCAGTACTTTCAAACAAATATTGTAGATTATTGTAGATAAACCCCCTTTTTACTAATGTAGCCAGGGTGGTTTACAATGAAAATATAATAAATTAGAAAATGCAAAGATCAAAGCAGAACAGCAGAATTTTCTCCCGCCACATAGGCAACATCTTCAGAAGCTAATTACATGAACTTGCCCCTTTTACTCATCAAGCCACACAGGTGTTTTACATAGTCCCTAGGGAGGTTGGCAAGGAACCACTCCAGGCGAGCTCTCTCAGGCCAAGAGCTAATGGCAAGCATCTCCTCACCCTTACCAGAATGGGAGATGGCAAGGTGAGGTAAATTACCCTTCAATTTGAAATCAGTATCCTTCTGGTCACAGTCCACTGTCTTCCTGAAACTGCAGGAAGACTGGAAAGTGAGCTCATTAGAAGGTAATGCATTTGACTCATCAGTAGTCTGGTTGCCTTGGTGTCAAGTCTGGCTTCAAGCTAAGGAATGAGGCACAGTTTGAAGGAGGAAACCTGGGCCTACTATTTCTTCCTGCACCACCTGAATTTGCCAACTGTCACTTTTTTTTTTGTTTTCCTTAGGTTAAATGAAGACATGAATGTGTGTGTTGCTGATTTTGGGCTTTCAAAGAAAATCTACAGTGGAGACTATTACCGCCAGGGCTGCGCTTCTAAGCTGCCAGTGAAGTGGCTTGCACTGGAAAGCCTGGCGGACAATCTCTACACAACACATAGCGATGTGGTGAGCAAACAGGGGTGTGGGTTGGATTTTTCGCTCTGCTTCTGTTTTCATTTGTGATCTTGGGAACAGGATCTGGTATACTATTGGATATACAACATTTGTCTGATACACTTGTGAGGAGTGGCAGTCATACTTTTGTCCTATATGCCTCCTCAACCTAAAGCCAATACTGATTTAAATACTAACCCTGTTCCATGTAAGGATTAACTGAACAATGCATTCATGAGCAGAACTCCAGGCCACAAAAACAAAAAGATACAACTCATTTTATTCTACAATATAATCACTGCAAATATATCATAATACAGTAACTTTGGCCTATCATACTACAAAATACATCAACTTATCCACAAGGCTATCAGCCACAACAGGATAATTACCAAATGACTATGGCTCTTGGAAACCTTAATTACATCTTCTACAAAGTGTGGCAAGGGGATGCTGAATATTTTAAACTTCAGGCAGAAATTTATTATTACAGTTATTTATTATATTTCTGTGCTGCCTGTGTCCAAAGCTCTCTGGGCAGTTTACAACAATAATCATAGAAACATACACTCAAGTCACCCATCTGCAGGCTTGACCATACTTAGCTTCCAAGATTAGGCAGGATCAGGCACTTTGGGCTATAGAGAAGCCTTGACACTTTGCAGTGGGTCTAGGACAGGCCTTCACCAAAGGGCAGACAAATCCTGGATATTAATTGAACTGGGCATCATTTTTGAAACCTAAGTATCACCATCTTTTGAATAAACCCAAGTGGAGCTAATTGTTTTGGGTTGTTCTTATTTAATTCCCCCTTGACTCTTAATCCCCCTCCTTTCTTTGTGCAGCCATGACCCCTTCTTCTTACTGAAAAATGATGTTCTAATTTTATAGTACTTTCTGGTTAAATTATATATACACATACATACGTGTCTTTGTCAGTCCATGTGAAAGTGTTCACCAGAATCATGACAGAATTCTAAAAGAAAGCAAGCAGTGTGAAAACAATAAGTACTTGCACGATTATTGCTAGTTATGATTTATATAAGTCAATAGTGCACTTGGTGCTATCCAAATAGTGATGTGTTGCATTTTCTTATTGTCATATATGTGTGCTCTGAAAAGATGAATGCTCCATCTAGTGTAATATTCTGGCAGTTCCAGGCCAGAAAAGGGTTGTGCTGTTATAGCATTTATACCCTGCAGTTTAGCCCAAAGGACTCCCAGAGCAGCTTATAAAGATAGGTGGCATGGCAGTCTCTTCCCTCAGAAGTAACAATATCAGTAAGGGTGACATTTCTGATGGCTTATGAGCCATCTTTGTGTATCTCAACAAACGAGTTGCAGAAAATCTTGTGCTTGCATGCTCTCTTCTTTACTTCTTTTCATAAGAGGAGCGATACCATCAGTTTCCAGCTTGGAACTGTTTCCGGGGGTTGTAGAAAACAATCAGTTAATTATCCAGGATTATCTGAGCAGGCAATTCCTGGTTACAGAATGTTCTGGAATAATCTTCTCCTTCCTGTAACTGGATAAAGCCGGAAGAAGGTTTGACTGACTCTAGACTTTATCTTTTATTCTGGTTTTATCTCCTTTTTCCTCCAAGAAGCTTAGAGAAGTACATATTAAGTTTCAATTTTATTTGCAAAAATCCTGTGTTAGACTCAAAGCCACCCAAGAGTGCTTCCTGGCTGAATAGGTGTTTGAACCCAGGTCTTTCCAATGAAAGTGCTTAAATACTATTGCAGCAAATTATGCCCATTGTATTTTCAGCTTACCTAGCACCTCAGTTACAAGGAAAAAAAGTTACATCATGTTGGTATCAGTATCTGTCCACATCCCCGGTTGGCCCAGTATTTAAATATTTCATCATTCATCCAAACATTAATGTTCATAACCATTATGATCGAGAAAAAAATAAATAGATCAGACAAACATGCATGATTGGTTCTCCTGAAAATAATTGGTTATCATTCTTTTTCTCAAATTATTGTATTTCAGTGGGCATTTGGTGTGACTATGTGGGAAATTGTGACCCGGGGGCAAACTCCTTATGCAGGTATTGAGAATGCAGAAATTTACAACTACCTCATCAGTGGAAACAGATTGAAGCAGCCTCCAAGGTGTATGGAAGACCTGTAAGTAGTGTATTAATCCCTTTCACTATCTCAGCATGGGAATCTTTTCTCAAGCACAGGCCCTTTTGTGAAGGCAGAAGTTACACAAAAGCACAGCCATGCTGCTGTCAGTTCAGATACTTTTCAATACAATTTGAACAGCAGAAGCTCCCAGTGGACTGTGCAGATTCTTTTCTGGTGGAGGTAAAGGGTGATTTCATCCCTTTAAATTTTAAAGAAGCCCTGCATATGACTGAAGACCTAACATATGTCATGAAAGCTGTGACTATTTTTTCAGGAGTGAAGCAAATGTGATGCTGAAGCAGAATTAATAGCAGGAAGTGCAGAAGAGCCATTCTTAACTATTTATTGGTGTGGGGTTAAGATTGTTGCTTCTAAACTCATAGGTTGAATCCACTAAAAAAACTCTGTCAAACCTTCCAGAGCATATCTTTGGATCACACAGAGCACTTCTGGGGCAAAGAGAGAAGGGGAAAGTCCCACTGTACCAGCTGACATCTGCCAGCGTTATGCTGGAGTTAACTCTGTATAATTGCTTCTGGGAGGTGTGTATGGAACATTGAACAGAGGTCAGAAAGCTGTGCCATCCCAGGCAGGATTTAAATAAGGGTATTCAAAGGGGACTTTAGGCTTGCTTTTTTCTGAATCAGTGTCCTCTCCAGGCCAGATGGCATTTGAAATCTAAGGAAATTTAAAAAGCACTGTGTGATATGGCATAGGATTCAGCTGTTCCAAGAAAAGGGGTGAAGTAAAAAAAAAATCCAGTGAGCTAGTCTAAGGATCATGGCCTTAGGATCTTGTATACTTCTTTAGATATCTGCTCCAGTTTCAGAGCCAGCTCTTTCATTAAGAAGGGTAATGCAGCCTGCTACAGATGATGGCTGTTTGGATTCACCTAAAAGACAGCAAAGTTATTTAGTCCATGATTTAGTTTATTACTATATTTTACAGCCTTGGAGATGCCATTTAGACTTTCGCACTTAGAAACCAAAACATTTTAGGGCATCTCTGATCACATTCTTATTCAGCTTTGGACACTCATGTCTGTTAATGAGGCTCTGTTTATGTGGCTATTAACAGTGGTCTAATCAATGTTGCATGTAATGGGATATACACAAGAAGCCTATCTTTAACAATGGTTACTCTAGGGCTCCTTTTCTCAGTGCCTTTTATTTTGTTTGCTCTGCAGCTATGATCTTATGTGCAGATGCTGGCATTCAGAACCCAAGCTACGACCTAGTTTTGGAGCCCTGAAATTTCAGCTCGAAATGATTTTGGCAAGACTGTCTTTGCTTTCATCCAGTGAGGATCCTCTGTATGTCAACATTGGGGAACCACAAGATTCTTGTAGGAATGACCCCACAACGAATTGTCTTTTTGGAACACTGGATGCAGAAGTGAACATTGCAGGAGCAACAGCTGCTGTCACTAGTGACTATCGTTACATCATGAGCCCCTTGTGCCTTGGGAATGATGCTGAAAGTGAAAGACATCCAGATGCATTGAATGAGGGAGAGGCCAGAAGCCTTCTTTATGATTTGGAGATGGGACCAAAACAATGTTAGCCTGGGAAAAAAAGTGACATTTCACTCTCCTCCAATAAGATGTGTGTATCTTTCTCATCATATGGTACTGCTTTACCAAGACAGTTGTAGGCTGCTTTTAACCAGCATAGGTAGCTGTAATCTAGGCTACTTCCGTAACTTCCTACAGCTGCTTGGGTTGCTGTGGCTGACAGCCCAAAATAACCATGAATCTTAATCACCTCTTGGCCTTTTGAGAGTAACTTCCTACAATGGTCAGTGAAATCCAACAGGAGTGACCCCATCTGTTAAGCCAGTAAATGCCTGTTTGCCCACAGAATTCTGAGTACTCCAGTTAAATAGGGTGCTGGTTGGCACCCTATTTTTTGTAGATTATTTAATCTGGACAGGAAAGCTTGGGACTAGCACATACAGGAGGAAAAACATCAGCCAGGTGTACACATTGATTTATACTGTATTTCAGGGCACAGAAAAATGAAGACCTAATTTAGCAGTACTGCCTAGACCTTCTGTCTACCTCAGTGATTCTCAAACTGGGATCTGTGATACTGCTTCTCTGAAATGACAAAATTGCATTTTTTTCCCCAGTGTTGTTTGGCTACCAGATGTATGCATTTCTCAAGCAGCTAAGTACCAACATTCTAACACTTCCGACTCCTAATCTTCGCCTTTCTTCATGTTTGACATAAAATTGATGAAAAACAAACTTGCCCTGAGAGCAAAACTTTTGCAATTTTTTATAAACATGAGTTGCAGCAAAGAAACTGGTCTGTTGATGCCCACAGAAAAATTAGATGTCAATGAGATGGTTTTTATTTAAGGAAGTAGTTTTCATTCAGAGAGAGTTTGAGAATCACTGGCCTACCTAAATACAGTCTCTTTTGGCACTTTGTGGAAAGCTGCATTGGACTTTAACTTTGCCTATTTTGGCAAATAGAAGAAGAAACTTCATTTTTAAGCTCTAACTTTGAAATCAGCTTATGTAATTAATCCTAAATTTAAAGAATAACATACATTTTGAAGATGACAGCAATGTGTAAATCAGTCAATGTTTTTGTATAACTGTTCCTAACATAGGGAAGGCCCAAGGTGGGCGTCACATCCCACTATCATCCTGACTGCCAAAATTTCCTCTCTGATTGTTAGAAGGACATCCTGATGCTTTGATAGTCAATATTCAGCCACACAAAAACACCAAATCACATAGGAATGCATTCTGTTTGGAATGTGCTAGCATCAACTAAGTAGCGCAATAGTATTTGTCAATAGTATTTTCTGTTGCAACAGGTTTCCTGAGAAAATTGGTTGCCCCAACAAATGCTATTGGCCTTATACTAGTGGTTGCTTACACTAGCACAATGTAATTTACTTCAGTGCTAGTGCCAAATAGAAGTGGATGTGACACACCTGAAGTATTTTTCAGTCCAGTTGAGAGCTTAGCACAGCACTGTAGAACCTGTAGCCTTCCAGATATCTATCCTAAATCCCATCAGTCAACAATGATGAGAGTTGTAGTCTAGCAATATCAGGTTTAGGATAAGCTTAGAATTTCAAATGAATGTGCTGGGTTGGAACATATCTACTGAGCCTATCCACCCAATCATGGAGAGGGTATTTGCCCCACTGCACCTGCTGGAGGGATTTGCATTCTGACCAGCACAGCTTGCCATGTCATATGAAGTCAGCAAGGGTTGCTTGTTGTTTTGGTTAACAAGCCAGCCCAGAACTCTAAAGCAGTCTATGGGTTTTGGACAGCTTGTTAATCATGGCAACAGGCATGTATGGCTGGGGAAATAAGCCACAGTGGCTTACCTTCCCTTCTGTGATCCTGCAAGCCTGGTCTTTATCTGTTTTCCAATCTTTAGAACTTTCACAGAAGGAATAAACAAACTTTCAGGGCTGTGGGCACATTTGGCAAATTAAGAAGTCTCCTGGGCACCACCACAAAACGGCTACTACAGGAGTTGTGCTAAAGGACAAATTGCACATCCAAAACACTGTGCAGAAGGCAGAGGTGAAATCTGAATCCAAATACACTATACAACTGCTTTGAACCCACAATTTTGAGCACCAACAAAAATCTCTTTCACAGCAATCCCAGCTGCCACTAAGAAAATGTGTTAACCGTTCTAAAAAAATGGGAAGGAAGCAGGAGGGTTGGGGCATCTTGGCAAGTGCAAGCAAGGTATCCCAAGGAAAGCACTGGCGCCCACAGGCACCACATTGCCTATTATCACCAGAGAGGCTGTGCATACAGCAAAGCACTACAGATAGGAAAAGAGTACCACTGGTGTTTTTGTATTATTAGTCATGCTTTCCTCATGCATTTCATCCAATGCTCATATTTAAGGGCACAATCCCTCCTGCCAGTTGTAGGACCAGATAATTGAAAATACTGAAGCTCAAATCATGAACAAATCCTGGCACTTACAAGGCCCTGTCTACTAATTAGTTTATCCTTCATCAGATTTGAAACTCTTTTGTTCATATGAATACAAACCTTAAAGGTTGCATGGCCTTTTAAGATTGAAGAGGTCATTGCCAAGTGCCAGAAATATTGCAAAATATATATCCATTCAGAGCCTGCAACTGAACAACAACACCCTAGCACAGCCTCCCCCAACTTGGTACCCTCCAAAAGTCTTAGACTACAACTTCCATCATCCCTCATCAGTGGCTAGACTGGTGGAAATTATAGTCAAAACATTTTCAGGATACCATGTTGGGAAAGGATACTCTGGCATCACCTACATGATTAAGAACTAGAACTCAGGATGGGGCAATGGAGATAGGACTGTGGTCTATTTTCAGTTACTTTCCATGAATCTTATTGGGGAAAAAAGGTACTGATCACAGCGAGACAGTTTGGAAAGAAGCCAACTACTTTATCCCCTTCTCTGCTCTTAAGCCTGGGTTGAGGACACAAAGGCATATTTAGGTCTGCAAACAATCTCTCCAATACCATTTTGCCTTCTTTTGCTCCATACCTATACCATTATGTCATGTGGCAACTGCTACAAGCCACATTGGATAAGGGGAGCAACCATGTTTCTTCATTCAAACACAAAGCTGTTGGGGGGGGGCAACAAAAGGTGCATGTGCTGAATGTTCCCCTCTTAGCATGGCAAAGTCCCTGCTTCAGTCCCCTGAGGCTGCTGCAAAGGACAGCATATAAATGTTTTAATTAAATTTAAAAAATTGGATTAAATTCAGTGACTCCAATATCAGAAGTGAGCCAAGCCATGGAGAAAAGCGCAGGAAGTGTCAAGAGCACCTGGAGGTAAGGTAGAAAAGCATTCAGCTTCTCTTATCCACATGCATCTTTGGTTGTAAAACCATCTTTGGTTAGATCCCAACCTCATCCACCTACCATTTTTATGAGTGGGCCAGACCCATGTAGCTGTCCCATCACATGAAATTCGGCCATAAGAGCAAACCAAGGGAGATGAGTGGTACCAGGCAGGCCCTTCCGTCAGGAAGCAGTTTGTCCTGAAGTTTCTAGACATGTCCATGCTTCTGAGCCACCAGCTTGGTGGCATCTTACTGCTGGCCTTGGTATCTACCCTGAGCCCTAAAGCTATCCTGCCACCCTCAGATGCAGTAAAGGATGCTATTCTTTTGCCACTGAAGTATGTTTCAACTCCCAGACACATTTGCTCTGGATGTGGAATGTGGGGAACATCACCTTGTTTTGTTCTTTGTCTTAGGCAGTAAAATGTCTTGGATCAGCACTGGGGCCAAGAGACACAATGTGCTTCTGCATACACAGATTCTTTTGATATCTGGGTCCTCTCTGCCCTTCTCTCTCTCAAATAGTACTCTGGTGACCTCTCATAAATATGCAATGAGAAATTGGTCGGGGGGGGGGGGAATCATCTTTTTAAACAACTTTGACTATGCTGATTGTGTGAATGACGCCACGGCTAAAACAAGTAAGGGTTAACTAATTCACATTAAGTTCCTACAAAAACAAGTTTCCACAAAAACCAAAAAAAAAAAAAAGCCAACAGATAATGGAAGCATTAATCTGTAACGAAATAAGCATGATCTAGGGAAAAAAGTTCTTTATTTGTACAAACATTGGTGGAATGCCTTCATTGCCAGAGGTATTTGGTGTGTATATGAGGTTCCCATTGTCATCAAAAGTAAATAATTGACGTGGTGCTTGAAAATGTAAACAATTCCTGATATAAGTTAGTAAAACTGGTGACAGACTAATGGTATTAAAATTATTGTTTAAAATGGTTCCATTCAGTAAGTGCTGAATTCTGTACTAGCTGTTCTGGAATCAAGTGAACCAGTTGGGACCAAACCATAATCCCCAAACAGTTAACCTATCCTATCCCTGCCAAAGCTCCGAGTTTCAAATTTCACTCTTGAATTAGAATCCAGATTTGAAAGGAAAATATTCTGCGGTAGTCTGAATCTGGGATTTTTATGGACCTATTGAATTAAAGCAACCCAAAGCAAGTGTCCTTTCCAGTACCCTATGCAATAATTCTTCATGGATGTAGACAGAACTTCATTGGATATTACACACTTCCCCCACACACATTCACAAATTAAACTTATCTTCCCACCATACCTGACTGTTCATAGTATGCAGTATAAGATATAACTAACACTTTGACCCTATTATGTCAACATACTAATAGCAAATTGAATTCATTGAGTGCCAGTCCTTACAAAGGCAAAATGATACCTTCCAAGCACAAGAGAAAGGTATTAGCAAGCTTGGAACTCTGAGATTTGCAGAATTACAAACCAGAGGGAGTTTGGTGAGGAGACCCAGTGAGGGCTGAACACACTCCATGGGCACAGAATGCTGGCTAATTTTGGGGCAGGGGAAGAAACTGAGAGGCGCTTAGAATGAAATGGAGTGGCTGGAACTTGGAACAAAAGCACTCCACACTATAACATTTGGTTGCAGGTCCCACTTGTGCCTCTTTATTTGGAATTAAGTCTCAGTGAACTGGAAGGGATTTATTCCCAAATAAATATGCATAGGATTACAGTTTAAGCTTCCTGCAGCAGCCATTAGCAAGAAGAGCAAGTGTACATACAAATCTAATTTTCTGAAGCATGTTGTTAGTTTTTATGCTTTTTTAAAATAAAATATGTACTGTGTCCTGGTTCCAGACTTTTATTCTTGGTCATCACTTTGCAGGTATTTTTAAAACATGTGAGAACAGAATTGTCCCTGGAAGTGAACAATTACATAAAATGTATTGAACCATATAATAATCACTGCTTCTGCAAGGCTGAGTAATCAAAATTGGGACAATGGGTGGGAACAGACCAACTTAGCCAGAATGCATTTCAATGATGTCCTGGCAATTGCAGAAGTCCTTCCTCCTGTGACATCCTATTTGTTAAGCGGTTCAAATATTTGAAAAGGTGGGATGGAAGTTATGGAAGTATCCGCTACACTTCCATGACCTTTTAGTGCCAATAAGCTGCTTCAGTCCATCACAAAATGATTATGGGCACAATCCTATGGCCTAACATCCTCTGGGAAGCCATGGGATTCTTCTGAATCCCAGCTCCAAGGTCCAAAACCAGAAATCCCTTACTCTTGAAGCTGGCAGGGCTTGACCCATTCCAGCTGCTTCTCACGCAAGGTCACAACTAGGCCATGGAGGGGGGAAAAGGTGGTGTGCTGGGAAAGAGGAAGGAGTGTTATAGTTCCAGTTGGCACCTCAGCCTCCTTCCCTCCCCAGCACTAAATCTTAGATGGATGAAAATAGTCTAGAAAAAAATACAGGGCATGAGGTGTAGTCACTGCTATTGGACACTCATAAGCTTCTACCTTCAGAGGCTTATAAGCATCTCCCAAGAGTGGGGCAACTAGTTTCGTTTTTGTAGCAGAAAAAAAATGAGTATTTGATTGCAAAAGTAAGTGTAATTTTCTCTTGTATACTTGTGCTACTCCAGTATAGCACAGCACCACCTAGAGGTTATGTAGCCGAAAAAAAAATCCTTATACGGTTCGCAGATCTCA